AAAAATTATGTTTATATGTTAAATATATTTATAAATACTATAAATTATATTAATATACATATATGCATGTAAATGCATGTAAATGTTTTCAAAATATATACATGCATGTGTGTGTATTTATATATACATAATAAATACACACAGTATGCACACATATATTATGTAAACAAAAACTTTTATTTTGGATACGATTAATCGCGATTAATTGTTTGACAGCACTAATTTTAAAGTATATTAAAATAGAAAACTGTTATTTTAAATAGCAATATTACTGGGGGGTTTTCTGTATTTTTGGTCAAATAAACGCAGCCTTGATGAGCATAAGAAACTTAAAAAAAAACAAACATTGAAAATCATAATGATCCCAAAGATTTGAATGGCAGTTTATATACTGACCCTCTGGTGTCCTACAGAAACATTACTTGTTCTTCTTAGTTAAGCAATAATGGCTCACCCAAGTGACTCCAACTAATCAAAACCAACGCCAGTGTCACACCATATGGTTCATGTTTCTCAGCCAATATCAATTTCACTAACCCCTGCATCCTGGATAAACAATGTATAACGCAGCTAAAACATGTCTGTGTATCTTGCATATAAATATTAGAATTCCTCTCCATTTTATTCAAGTATGAACAGACAAATAGGTCCCAGGCATTTTAGAACCAAGTTCCAAACTCCTGATGGAATTGTTTGACAATATTAATATACTCTACTAATGCACTTTTTGATTAACGACATAAAAGTTACGACACCCTTGTATGACACCCTGGACACATAATAAAGCACGTCACATCTGTTAGTCTTGTTGTAAATGAATATAACAATCAAGACATAGATGGACTGTGTTCAACTGAACGATTCCAACTGGCTCATTTGCAGGCTGATGTTAAATAACATGCCAGCTCATCACATCCCCTTTCCTCTCTTTCTCTCTCTCTCTGTTTCAATGGTAACCATATACAGCTCTTTACATCACTGACACTCCCATTATCTCTGCGGTTCCTTACACTGACTGCTTCATTGGGAAATTGGGAAAAACAAACTGTTGGCTAAAAGAGAATTTGAATCATATCTCATGTTGCTAAGCTGCCAACAATGGATTGTTTTAAACTGAGAATTGTGTGGAGGAAGTCGAAAGCTTTGCTTGGACCTCCTGATGCACTGGAGAAATGATGCCCTTGAGGATTCATCCCAAGCTGGATAAAAGCAACTCAGAAATCATAATAAAGGATTTATAATGGTGCTTACAAGTTCCCTCTCTTTCTCTCTCTCTCTGTTTCAATGGTAACCATATACAGCTCTTTACATCACTGACACTCCCATTATCTCTGTGGTTCCTTACACTGACTGCTTCATTGGGAAATTGGGAAAAACAAACTGTTGGCTCAAAGAGAATTTGAATCATATCTCATGTTGCTAAGCTGCCAACAATGGATTGTTTTAAACTGAGAATTGTGTGGAGGAAGTCGAAAGCTTTGCTTGGACCTCCTGATGCACTGGAGAAATGATGCCCTTGAGGATTCATCCCAAGCTGGATAAAAGCAACTCAGAAATCATAATAAAGGATTTATAATGGTGCTTACAAGTTCCAATGGATGCTGTTTACTGGAAGAATCCTTCTGGTGCCTTCAGAAGTGAACCAGATCTTACATGATAGGACATGTTTGCGTGAAAGTCATTTGAAAATACAGCTATCAACTCCAATTTTGATTATGCATGTTTAGATCTGTAGTTCAGAGACATAAATGAATGATAAATTAAGCAAATGTTACACAGAAGTGACTTTCATATCAAGCTACTTTCTGTTGGTGAATGTGGCAAAACCATGTGACCAACGTGAACCTGTTACAAAATCTGACTGCAAAAAAATCTTTCGCCCACAGTCCTATTTCCTATTAAAATGAATGGAATTTGTCCATGAAAATGCACCTTAAGTATTTCATACATCATTTCTCTCAAACTCTGATGATTGGCATATACGTACGTACATGGCTCAAAGACGAGACGTTCCATTTTGGTGTCCACAAAAGTCATTTTTTATACATAGAAAGTCATGGAAAATGTCAAAATATGGGTGAAATAATGTTCCATCATCATGCAGCATAACAGATATATTTATCTAAAAATTAAACAATATACTTATTTTGACTTGTACTTATTACAATATATAAAAGAAAAAGTGATAATACTGAAATTTTCTTATATTTTAAATGATTAAAAACTGCCTTAAATGGGTAAAACCTAGTGTATGAAGGATAGTGGTAAAGATTTAAAATGACTTTTATTTAATCTTTAAATAAAGTCTTTTAATGACATCTGATTATTCTGGTTTTAAATATGCCTGACAAGATTTTTTGGTTGCATGGAATGACACTTTAGTGGGCATTTCCTGTAAATCGTGGTAAAAATGTATGATTAGACATTATTTTTTGCTCAGAAAATAAAACATAAAGCAATTAAACAGGACACATTCTAACCTACGAGCTGCATTCATTTTTTATTGTTTTGACAGTGGAAACCCCCTTTTTGTCATTGATCCCTATATATTTGAATAATAAACTTTTTATATAACTTAAGATGTTTTGTTCAGAATCCTTTAATTTAGCTTAGAAAGATCAAATTATATCATTCTTGAAAAAATGTTAACCATTTTTGGACTAGTGTTAACAGATGTGTTTCACAGAAAATATGTCATTAGGGTCATAGAGTATAAAGTCGTACAAAATTCTAATTCTAAAACAAAAGTCAAATAACTAATGAGCATCTGGATTTATTTATCCATCTGCTGAAAATGTTTCAAGTGTTTCAAAATGTTTCAAGTGATTTAAGGAACCGTCTTAATGATCGCAGAAATACTTCCATGCATGTTTGTTTTGGAAAGGTCAGTACTTCAAATCACAGTAATGATCCACTCGTAATGAAGCAGCTGTGATGCACTAAAAGTTCCATCGATGACCGGTAGTGGGTGAGTGACGTTAACTTTTACCTAGCGAACCATCGCAAACCAACTAATGGTAACACATTCACCTGTTTGGAAACTAGCTCTGAGTCACAAGAGAACAGTAATGTTCCTATACAAACAACAATGAATAAGCTATACACCAAAAAGGGCAGTTTGGCCCCTTGGAGGACCCTTTTATGTGGACGGTCATCACTGACAGTCCCAATGACAGCTGTAGAATCCTGAGTATGTGAACATGGCATGTTCAAGCATTCAGTCGACCCAAGTATGGCACTCAGCTGCTGTGCATTCCTCTAAGACCACAATAACAGCACTCCTAAAACCTGCTTAAAGGATAACACTGTTTATGTGGTGGAAATGAACCAAGTTTAAGACAACAATTATATCTTACACAGTTGGAGAAGAACCTCAGTTGTTTTGGGTCATGCCTGTAATGAAGGAGAGCTGGGTAATTTAGAGGTGAGGTTTATTACAGGCTACAAGAAGAGACAGGATGTGAATATCTACACTATCAACACCAGTTACCTGTCATTACTATTATGATATTGGAAAACTGATTGCTTATTAACAATGCCGCTAAAATAGTTTTGTTATTGGCTGTATTTAAATAGAACAGCATTAGCTAAATATCTGAGTCTGAAAAGGTGTGCTTTAGAAGCACTGACAATAACAAACAACCTCCTGTGTGCACAGGACAGTGCAGACTTTGGTGCAGTGCAGCCCACGATGCACTGAAGTATCCTGACATCATATCACTTCTCTCTAACAGTGCATTGGCACTGCATAGATGCTATGGCAAGCCAATTTAACATTAATTCTTTTGCACTGTTACTTGTGCATATTTCTAATTATACTGAAAATTGTAACCTTAAAATGTCATCATCTGGTTTTAGTCAAGTCAAAATTATTTTAAATCACTGAACTAACCTAAATACATTCATATACCAACCAAAACTAATTTTAAGGGTTAAGTCAAGCACAAATGGCTCTTTAAAATTACATTGCAGGTTACCACTTTTTACAGTGTACCAGTTATTCCAAAAGTGACCAGGTGTATTTTTCAGGTTCACTAGTGATTATTTATTAGTACTGGTTGCCAACAGCAATTAGTCCCAAGTACTTATTCTTTTGTTGCTAGTCACTATCCCAGTAGCGACGATAATTAACTATACTTAAGTTTTTGGTAACCACTTGCTATTTTTTGTCAACTGAATCTGTGGTTTAAAAATCAACTATTTACTTCAGACTTCAAATACCAGTTTTGCGTGTAACCAGTAATAGTATTTTTAGTTATGTGTAACTATTTGAATAGTTACATGTGTCCATTCCAAGTGCTTATTAAACAGATTACTTATTTATTGACACTAATAGACTAGTACCTATTTATTAGACAATTATTTCTATCCAAACTGCTATTAGAAACATTTCCCTTTTTTTTAATTAGTTAGAATTGTTGTTTACAAATTATTAGTCAGAATAGCTACTTTAAATTAGACTAATTTACTAGACTGGTATAGAACTTCTGTCAAACATATACCAGTGTCTATTCAATTAGAAAACTGAAACAGATAACTAATGAATAAGTATCAGTATCTAATGACACTGTAGCACTTTATTTTACAGCCGTATTACACATATACATGTACTATTTATAGTAATTACAATAACTGGGTAATAACTAGGTACTAACTCTAAACCTAAGCTTAACCAATGTACCTTATATTACCAGTACTTCCTTAAGTAAGTACACTATAAGTGTACAACCAATGAAACATTAACATACTAGTCACTATTGGAGCATTTAATAGTAAACAGAAAATAAGAACTAATGACATAAATATAAATGCTAGTTCTAAGTTTTAGGCAATAAATGTTAAAAAGGCTTGCCATATAACTGCATGATGCCCTCCAGAATTACTGCAATAACAAAATATTTGTGCCACTGCATCAGATATAGATGTAAATACCTCTAATAAAAACAGTCATTTACAGAGAGTGGATACAACTATGTCTGCTTTAGGGGTGTCTGTCATACCTTATGTGGGGCTTTCAGAAGTCTGTGAACTCCAGCGATCTGATTGATGAGCGGAATATCTTCTCTGAATGTGAAATGTGGGGGTCTGGTCGGCTCAGGAAAATTTGTGCTATTAAATGGATCAGTATCATCTAAGAACTGCACCCTGCATGCGAACGTAGCCATGATACATCCATACAAGTTGATTTGGGAAAAGTCGGTACAACAACAAAAAAGTATAGACCGACTAAAAATCCTTTAGATCAGACGCAGTGTAAAAGTGTCAAGAATCCAGGTGCGCTCCGTCCTACTGCGATGTCCTCTGTTAGTGTTTAGTGGTTTCTATATTTCTACAGTAGTTTCTCGCAAGAGGAGGGCCGGTAATATCCAAGGGCATGTCGGGCAGGCAAGGTGCTGAGGCAGACTGCTGCAGACGGGACGGGACGGGACATCTACAGTCTGTCTGATGACTAGCGATGCAGTACGTGAGAGGGATTGGGGGACTCCCTTCAGTCACAACAGTGAAGGTATGAGGGCAAGAGCCGGAGCTCTGGCGACACCCATTGGTGAAATTTATATCACAACTTGTTCATATATTATGCATTCCTAGCATAACATTTTTTATAAGTAGCCTAATTACGGAAATAATAGACTTAAAAACATACTTAAGGACAAATGTATCCTAATGTTTCTAGACAAATGCATCTTATTAACAAATAAAAATGTATTATAGCTTACATTTACATTTTTGCTATATTATCTGCAAGCATGCCTACATTTTTCCTAAAAAAAATTACTTGTAGATAATTACAAGTGCACATCCAATATGATTAACAACAACAATAATAATAATAATAATAATAATAACAATAATAATAATTTCACGACAAATAGCAACATAACTTTAAAAAGGTTATTATGGCAACCAAAACTTGGAATAAAATACTGTAGTTAGGCTACCTGCAGTCTGTGATTTGGCTGAAATACTGATATGGTTCGCATTTTAAAGTCACTTGCTTAAACTCACACTTGAGCAAAATGGGACTGTGAATTTTGTTCGTGTTTTTATCTGAAGTCCCTTTGTTGTAAAAGCACATCAGCACTGATAGAAGGCCTAAACATGAACTATGATTAGTAGAAAAAAAAATAATCTGTTTCGGTGTCAGACGCAACTTTTAGACTGCATCCCTGGTTGGGTGGATATGCATTTTCCATCACACATAACGTCTCCAGGTTAAATATGTAACCATGGTTCCCCGAGGGAATGAGACGCTGCGTCGAGATCGCTTTGGGAACGCCCCTGCGTGACCGAGTTCTGAAGCACGTGTAAAATCAGTCCAATGGAGAAGCGAGACATCACGAGCGGGGTGACGTGAGTGCCAGGAAGTATAATATGTTGTAAAAGCGGACAAAAGTGTGCGGAGAGGACCAACCCGCCGCAGCACAAATGTCCTGCAAGGCCACACCCAAGTTGAAAGCCTTGGAGGCCGCCATACTCCTGGTCGAGTGCGCTCTGACCCCCATAGGTGACGGGAGGCCAGAGGACTCGTAGGCTAGTGAGATAGCCTCGACCACCCACCTACTCATAGTCTGCTTGGTCGCCGGAGAGCCTTTCTTTGGCGGACCAAAGCAAACAAACAGCTGATCTGCCTTACGCCACGGGGCAGCTCTGTGTGTGTAAGCATCCAGTGCTCTAACTGGACAGAGCAGATTAAGCCTTTCTTGGCCTACTTCCTGGAACGGAGGAGGACAGAATGCCTGAA